AAATAAGCCAGAAAGAAAAAGAAAAATACCAGATGGCCTCACTCATAGCAAGAATCTAGAAAACTTAAATAAGGGACCAGGAAAATGAATGAATATAAGAAAGTGAAAATCAAAATCAACAAAAAACTATGAACCAGAGACACTCTATGGGGCTAGGGGGTGGGAGGGGAGGGCTTGGGGTCAAAATAAAGGGGTTGTAATTGTATGGGGAATATAAAAATAAAATTTATATATAAAAAAAGATTTAGCATTTTTAGGCAGTATTATTGCACAATGATTTGAAGCACTGAATGCCTTGTAATTTTCTCTCTTGGAAAGGTAACAGTGATATTATGATGGATTTTAAATGAGTTAGTCCAGTACCTGGCAAAGTAAAGGCACTATGTAGTATATGCCTCTGCCATGATTCTGGTCAAATCGCTGACACATCTGCTTTCAGTGCTCAAAGGCCCATGCCTACGTCTGTTACTCCCCTAGTATATTTGGAAGCGCCACCCAGAACATCCTTTGCATAATTTAAAGAGTCTTCTAGCCTACCTACTGATTCATGCTTTGCAGATGAAGTTTGCTTGAGGATTTGTATGGTGACATGTTTGTTAGATCATCTGGCAAGACCACATTAACAAAAGTTTGCAGAGTCAGCTTAGAGAAGTCAGGTATGGTTTTGGACCACTGCCAAAGCTTCCTCTTTCCAAAAGTCACTCATTCCTGGGTGTGAGGTTGAGAGGAAAGCTGTATCATTCATTCCCATCTCCTCAATGTAAATCATTCTCTCAGGGCAGTGAGAGATAAACCATGGGGCAAGTAACAGAATGGGGTGCTTCTACTCCCTGAGAGACATTTCTTTCTAGGGAAAGAATTTTAATTATATGGGAATTAAGAGCAAGAAGTATTCGAGGCAATGATCAAGCTTTTCTTTTAAGTACCCATCTCACCAAATATTTCAAATTCTCTAAGACTTCAGCTAAATGGAGGGGAGTTTTGGGAGGGATAGTAAATAGCTTTTTCAAAGTATTTTGGTAAGCAAAATGCTTTTAAAATAAAATTCAACAATCAATTGCCAGATCTTTTAAGTGTTTTTCCAAATCCTTTTTTCCCACAATAACGTATCTATTTTAGGAAAGTCTGAAGGGAAAGAAAAACAAGACCATTTAGAATATTATGTTTCCAAAGCAACTGCTCTGTGGTTCTATCAAGGACCTCCAAAGCCAAAGCCTGGGAGGAAGTGCTTATCAGGTGGCTGGGGAGATGCCCAAATGGCATCAACTTAACAATTAGAGAGGTTAAAGCAGCACAAACACCCAGATCACCAAATGCTTGTTTCCTTTCATCTTTCTAATAAAGAAGCAACGGAAATCTTCAAAAGAAGACTCAAAGGGACAAAGTACTGACTTCTGATTCTGGCAAGCTGAATAAAAGCAAAATCATATCCCATATAATATCCATACACCCAGAAATGCTACAGGAAAAATACCAAAGAATTCCAGTATAACTGATGCATAACTGTAAGGTAAAGTTTTCCCCAAAAAATTATTCAGAAAAGAGTAAGTTACCTTATATTCAAATCCTTTAAAAATCTTTTCCTTTTATTTAGGGAAGACACATTTACCTGAGATGACACCAACAATACTAGTTTGGGACAATACTAGTTTGGGATGCTAACAAAGGACACAGGATAAACCGTTTTTAAAGAGTTAAAGAAATCTTTTTACAGAATATCTTTGAAAGCAATACAGCAAATGGGTAAGTCATATAGCTAAACCATGGAGGAAAAAACCAAACATTTCCATGTTACAGAATGAAAAGCAAGCTGTGGATTTTCCAGAAGCAGAAGTCATTTTAAAAATGAAGTGATATGGGCAATATAACCAAAATGAAAATGCATACATTGTACAAAGATGAAAAATGATGTAAGAATTATATAAAATATTAAAAAAAAAAAGACACTGATTCAAGAAAAAAAAATGAATGAAGTGAATGAAAAAAGCAAGTAGACACAATTGAAAGTATGAGTGAACTCGGGCAGTCTGACGATGCCCAGCCCATGTCTAACAGGAGCTCCAAAAGGAGACATGGAGAGGGAGGAGAGGCCATACTTAAAAGTATGTCTTGAGTACTTTCCTGAATTAGATACTGCATAATGAGGAAGAGCTACAGTACGGTATCCTGTGGTAGAGTGATACCTACTCAATCTGGAGACAAGGGTAAAGACATGTGGAACTTCTATTAAGATGAAATATGCCCTAACTCTCAAGGCATAAAAGGGCTTATGTTTGCTATGTGTGCACAGACTTAAAAAGCTGTGTAACTAATGCAAATTAAGTTGTTTCTCTGCTGTATCTTGAAATTTTATTTCTAAGCCTTTCCCATTGTGTTCTTAGACAACACCTAATTTAACAAGCTAAAACCTTGCCATAAAATCTCATACTTTCCATCTAAAACATACCACTGTTCAAATATACTTCTGGTCAGGGATCTATGACCTTTTTTCCTGGAAATAAACACTAAGTTCATAAGATAATCAGGAGCAATACCACTTCTCACCTTTAAGTTTTCTTTCTACCAAATGCATAAACTATAAACAAATTTTTTCTACAGTTTTAAAATTGTCATTTGGTTATTTTCCTTCTAGTAATTTTAAGATTTCAGTGACTCCCCTTTCTTTATTTTTAATCTTCCTTCTTTCAAGATTTCTCTTGGTATCCTTTAATTGATTTATTTGTATTAACCTAGAACTTGCCAAGGCAGCTGTAAATTCATAGCACAAGATTAAGTAAACTAAAATATCAATGACTACATATTTATTTTTTAAATCCTTTTAGACCCAAATATGTAGATAAGCAGGAGGGTAAATAGAGACTAATAATCATGACCATGCTGCCTGTGAGACCACAGGCAAATGGCCTTAACTCTTGGGGATTTCTATGAAATGAAGAGCTAATTTGGCTTCATGATCTCAGTTCATTCTTGGTAAAATTCCACTGATTGTTCTTATGTGTTTTAGTATTCAATGGAATATAAACATTAAGTTAAAAAAAAAAAGGGTAGTTGAAATGGCATTACTGACTGGTTTATCTAAGTACAGAAAAAGAACTCAGGTAAAAATCAAATGTAAATATCCTCTAACTTGTATGTATTAAGGGCTTATTTTCAACTCAGGCTTATGTGACCTGGGTATATTTTTAGAAACTTGATTTAAGAATTACAGTTTCCTTATCTATTATTTTTCTATGTGCTCTAAATCTTGAGTTTAAATGTTATTTTCCTCTTCTATATTATTTCTTAAATCTCTATATTCAGTGCACATACACTACTCAAAGTCTTCTATTGCTCTTATCAACTTAGCAAGGAAATACCTTCTGTTGTGTTTTCAGAACCGCCCCCAAATTCACTCATATGCATGCAGCAGCAATTTATACAGCAATTCTCCACTCCCCCTTATTAGGGTATTGTCTAATGAAGTTATAGATACATATTTCTAGGGCCTGAAAAATATTCAAGACAGATGCTTAAGTTCTATGAGACTTAAATATCTTTTTTCTCTAAATATTATGTGTAATAATAAACTCTATCAAAGTTCCCTATGGAAATGGCTCTATCACTATCAATTATGGGAAGGTAAATACTTCACTCTGGAAGACCTGACAGCCCGCTGTGGTTGTGTCCCTTGAACATAGAGATGTGCACAGTGCTGGACCCAGGAGTCACTGCTGTGCACCGGCCCTGCCTTCAGTCCTGCAATATCCATCTCGGAGGCTAATTAAACTGCCTTCATTCTAGAATAGGACAGAAAAAAGTAAAAGAGGAGTTGTAAAAACTTTTATTGACTGTTGAACATTAAAGCAATGATAGTAGCATCTACCATGCTAGTCATAAAATCTTTTCCTTGGCTAATGAAACACTCATGGAAGAATAAGATGCAGAACTCCCACAGCTGTAACACTCAAATACAGTGTTCTCACCAGGCTCCTCTCCCCCCCCCTCCCCCAAAGGTAACCACATGCAGACATGCATGTCTCCACAGGGAGACACCATCACAGCCCAAGGCTGATTTGGAGAATTCATTCTTTCCTTTGAACACCAACACTACTTCCCCTCCATTACTTCCTTTATTGTTGTCTTAAGCACTCATTGGAGAATAAAAGCTATAATAAAAGATTTAAAATCTAAATAGAATACTTGAAGGTATTGATTTTATTATGGCTTAATTCTTCATTCCAGAGACTTTGTTATAAGCCTGAAAGGTATAGATCTCCCCCTAAAAATGTCCAAATTGTGCTCATCACTAGAGGCAGCTAGCTATCCTACCCCTTCTAGCCTTAGCAGTTTTATTATCAAAAATAATAAAAACTTGCAAAATAGGAAGGATGTAAGCATTGATTCTAATTTTCATTTTTATTTAAGCTACATTTGCCTTTGAGATCAAACTTCATTTTCAGCATTCTAGTTATATGAAAGAAATATTTAGGCCTAAACTTACACAGACCATTCAAATACTAAACTAGACCTCACTATCCATTCTTTTTAGCTTTAAAAAATAAGTTGTCAAATCTCAAAGCTATTTAGTTTCAGATCTGAATAGAGACTAACTTAGCACAAAACATACCAAACAAGTACCACCCACTTCCTCCCTCCCTCACCTCCATAAAGAATAAAACATGTATTAAATGCTTAATAAAATGCTCCAGATTTTTCATATTTTGTTATTTTCCCACTCTGTATTTTGCTTTTAGACTATTTCTAAAAATTATTTTAAAACAATATAAAACACATAACAGAATCAATATCAAAGACTTCTACTTTAGATATTCTGGAAGGCATATCTGTACAAACATCTCTGGCATTTTGAAAAATCAATTTTAAAACATACTGAAAATGCATTAATGTACTTACTCTCTCAATTTTCTCCCTACCCCACACAGCTGCTTTTCTTCATTTAGGAACACAACACCAAAATCAGTCCATTTAAGTAAGAGGAAACGTGTTAAGCTTTGACCTACCTCACAGAACATATAGAGCGACAGCAATGTAAGTCCAAGGTTATACACCACTAAAATTCCCCGGCAAGAGAATGCCTGTCTATTCTTCATGTATTTGGGTCCCAGCCATACAATTAGTAAGTATATGACAGAGCAGATAAAAGTTGGTATATAATTGTCCAGGAGGAACCATCCTTTTACCCTGGTGTCTGGAAAATAATAAAAGAAAAAATATTTAGTGACAACTTTTTTCAAACATTAAAAATTCAGTAACTATGATTTTATAAGTCACCTATGCTAAACTTCCTAATGCTAATAAAGCAACTAGAAGAGGAAACATGAGTTTTTCAATACATATCCTATAAGGTGAAGCTTCTTATAATATGTTCTGAATAACAAGGTGTATATTATTCATGGTTTTTGCAAAGTGAAAAAAAAAATCCCCCAAAGAATTATAAAGAAAACAAGGAGAAAGCTGAACTTTCCATTAATAGAATTTACTAAGCAGATTTGCTAAATTATGCATGGTATGATGAAACTCTAGAAACAGCAGTCTTTGAACTCTGAAGTCCTACATCTCAGCCAAGTGTCAGCAAGTTTGCCCAGCATGTGCAGACTCAGAGGAAGTGTGCCATTTAGTCAGCTTAATGATAGCTACTGATTAGAATGGCAGCATCTGCTATGAATGCAATGGCCAAGAGCTGCGGGGAGAAATGAATTTTTTTATAAGTGAGGGTGAAGCAGCAATGATCAGATAAGTGACTATTTAAAGTATTTAAGCAGAAGCCTGAGAGAAGGGTCACTGATATAGGAGAGAACTTCCTGTTCCCTCCTCCTTTCCTAGGCAGGCAAGAGGAAGAAGAAGAAAACTGGTTTCAAGTAGTAGCCAGCAGCAAACTGACAGCCCTCTCCTTGGATGGGGGTAAAGTCCCTGGCAGTCATATCCCCTAAATGTTATCTGTCCCCTGGTAAGATTCAACTGCATCCTCTGGCTGACTCCCAGGAAGCACCTCTGCAGCATGTTCCCTTCTGCATCCTGCTATGGCTAGTCCCTAAAACTTGTTCCTCAGTCTTATCAACCCTACTCTGGAGCACAGAGACATGTGCAGGTCTTACTTTTTGCATCTTCTGAGAAAGCAGCAGCTAGTGGGAACAGTCTGCTGATACTTAGATCACTTTGCTATTTTCTCCAGTATTTTCCCTGTGACCTCAAAGGACAAGGGAAGGTTAATACATCCACTTGGGGAGTGGATTGGCAGTTTCCTCTCTTTCACACACTTGATTCTCCCAGTGTTTCTCTTTCTTCCCTTGGCTTCAGAGGGAGATGCCCTCCCACCCTCTCTCCACTGCTCTGGTGGTGGTGGGTGTTACTGTCAGTACTGCTGAACTAAAGTTCTTAGAAGTGTTCAGGAAAGTGGCTGGCCTCAGTGAACTTAACAAGGGGATTCTTAACACCTTTTTTCTCAGCTAAGCTATCAATTCTGAGGAAACAAATTCCTACTTTGCAACTATTATCACACGTTTGTGTACCTATATCATATTCAGAATAAACGCACACACACAAATTTCCCATTTCCTTTTACATAAAGCAGTTTTGCACTTTGCCTTCAAATTTTATAAAAATAATAGGTCTTGGGCCTCCCTGTTAGCACAAGGGGTTAAGTCTTAGCACTATGAAGCTACCTGCAGTCACTGCAGCGCTAGTTTGATATCTGGCCAGGGAGCTTATCCACATGGGGCAGCAGACCTTTCCTGTCTTGCTTGCTGCTCCCCTCAGCAGTGTATTTTAGTAGATCTGCCTTCTCTGCTCCCCACTCTGTCTCTGGTAAATCCTCTTACCCCGCCCCATACTGGCGTACACCCCAGCTCCTGTATGCATAAGTAAATAAAATAACTCTAAAAATAAATAAGTCTTCATCTTTCCATTCCAGCAAGTATCCTACCAACTTCTACACTGTCAGGTACCTCCAAGCTATCTGGCCCCATGCCCTGCTGGTAAATCCTTAGCGATCTAGCCAGTCAAAGTAGTCCTAACCCACTCTATGGTGGCTGGTTTAGACATGGCCATGTGAAGCAATGTGGCCACTGAGATTTAAGAAGATAACATTAGGTAAAGGATTCCTGGGAAGAGATTCCTTGTTTTTAGAACCATGCAAACGAATAATTTCTTCTTCTTGGAGGTGCTGCCTAAACTACTGCATCTGTCCCACAACTATGAAAGGTGAAGAGACCTGAGCTAAGGACAGAGCTACTACTACACGAAGGCTGGCAAAGTAGAAAATGGCAAGAACAGGTTTTTGACTAATATAGAACCCCTGAAATAACTCAGGAGTTGCCAGCCTTGTAATATAAGCTAATTTTATTATTGTTTCAATCCTTTAAAATTGGATTTGTCCCCTAAAGCTGATGTAAGTAAAGTGCTGTCCCAACATAGGCACATATAGATGGATGGAACTTGTTCTTGTTCACTGGCTGTACACTAACTCATTTAACCTACCCCTTACTGACGGGTGTCTAGATTACTTCCAATCTCTATAAGCAATGCTAGAAGGAGCATCCTTACACACATCTTTGCATAACTTGTCAAATTCAAATGGAGGGTAGTCTCAGGAGTCAAAAGCTGACCCAAGGGGGATGTGTGTTTTCATTTCAATGGAAGACACAACTACCCTCCACAGAGAGGTTATACCAATTTACTTTCTTCATGCCCTCACTCCTATCACAGATAGTATCAAACATCATTTTATCTGTCATGCTAACTGATGAAGCTACTTTTTTTTTTTTTTTTTGTATTTTAAAAACTATGAGTGAAAATGAAGATCTTCTCATCTGTTCAAAAGCCCCTCATAGTTGTTCTATGACTTGGTCAACCTAAAGAATTCCTTTTTTATAAAGACACTAACAAAACTATAAATGAAACTAAAAAAAGACAATATGCAGCTGATTTACTACCTGAGAGATAATAAAAGACTATATGAAAGGTGAGTTCAGGAATATGTATTTATTCATTTTCATGACCCAACATGAAGGAATTAAAAAGTCCTTCAAACCGTAAAAAGGGAGGTTTTTAAATTCCTAGTGCAGCAGTGCATTTTTGGCAACCAGTTTCAGCTAGAGCTACTCACAAGAGCTGAGGAAAACAAACCACTGATAAGGGCTAATTCTACAGTATTCTCAGGCTACCAGCACTGCCACATAATTTGATCTCCAGCTAAAGTCAGCAGAGGGTCACAGAAGTTGTATCTCTGCTCCAACAACCAGGCAACAGTGCACCACCTCAGTGGCCGGCAGAGGACTCCAAGCCCACACTCTCCAGGACAAAGCATTAGCCTCACCACAGAAAATACCAATGTTTTTAGAATCTCTTCATGCAATATTTAAAAGTGATGTGGGTCACTTGTCATCAGGGAAATGCAAATCAAAACTACCATGAGATACCATCTCACACCAGTGAGAATGGCACATATTAAAAAAACTAGCAACAACAAATGTTGGCGAGGGTGTGGAGAAAAAGGAACTCTTCTGCACTGTTGGTGGGAGTGCAAACTGGTCCAACCACTATGGAGAGCTGTGTGGAGATTTCTGGACCTACTAAACATAGAGCTTCCATATGATCCAGCAATTCCACTCCTAGGTATTTACCCAAAGGACACAGAAACATCAATTCCAAAGAGCACCTGCACTCCTATGTTTATAGCAGCACTGTTTACAATAGCTAAGCTTTGGAAACAACCCAAATGCCCAAAAATAGATGACTGGATCAAGAAGATGTGGTACATATATACCATGGAATATTACTCAGCATTCAAAAAAGATAAACACATGCAATTTGCAGCAACATGGATGGCACTGGAAGGGATCATGCTCAGCGAAATAAGCCAAAAAGAAAAAGATAAATACCGGATGGTCTCACTCATAGCAGGAATCTAGAAAACTTAAATAAGGGACCAGGAAAATGAATATAAGAAAGTGAAAATCAAAATCAACAAAAAACTATGAACCAGAGACACTTTTTGGGGGGTGGGGGGCGGGAGGGGAAGGATTGGGGTCAGAATGGGGCGTTTGCAATTGTATGGGGGAATATAAAAATAAAATTTAATATTTAAAAAAAATAAATAAATAAAAAAAAAAAAAATAAAATAAAAGTGATGTGGGGCAGTGGGAGGGTAGAGAGGGCAAACAAAACCAAAACTGTCTTACCTCGGGGGCCAAGCAATGCCTTGAAATAAGTACTAAGTGATGCATCAAAATTTTCCATTTTAAAACCTATGAATGGGGGAAAAAACATTGATTAATCTCAACTCAATGCTTTTCATACAGCTTTTTTTCATAAAATAACAAATTCTATACAAAGATTATGCTATGAATAAGGTTAAGTTGCTCATGTTAAAACATTTTTTCCTAGCTCACAAAGAGTAAGGGCTAGGTCTAATTTGAAAATCAAAAGACACAATCCCGTGAATTCACTTTATACATGAAGTGCCAGTTTTCTGAACTTCTTTTCTCAGTTCCATAAAAAACCTTTTTGTGAAGCCGAAATCTCAGTGGGGAGAAACTAGATTGAAAGGTGGCAGACGGGAGAAGATCCCATCTGGGCATGAACCAACAAACAGAGGAAGACCAGTACCAGACACAGTGAAAAGACTGTTTCCCCTGGTTGGTACTTTCAGTATTTTAAAATTCTTCATGTCTACATCACCCAAAGCAGTGATAGTGACGGCAAAAATAAACAGCTGGGACTGTATCAAATTAAAGAGCGTCTGCACAGCAAAAGAGACAATAACCAAAACAAAGAGAAACCCCACCAACTGGGAGAACATTTTTGCACCCAACACTAATGATAAAGGACTGATCACAAAAATCTACAAAGAGCTGATGAGACTCAACAAAAACAAAGAAAATAATCCAGTCAAAAAATGGGCAGAAGAGCTAAAAAGAAACTTCTCTGAAGAGGAAATGCAAATGGCCAACAGGCATATAAAAAAAATGTTCAACATCACTTGTAATCAGGGAAATGCAAATCAAAACTATAATGAGATACCATCTGACACCAGTGAGAATGGCACATATCAAAAAAACTAGCAACAACAAATGTTGGCGAGGTTGTGGAGAAAAAGGAACTCTTCTGCACTGTTGGTGGGAGTGCAAACTGGTCCAACCACTATGGAGAGCTGTGTGGAGATTTCTGGACCTACTAAACATAGAGCTTCCATATGATCCAGCAATTCCACTCCTAGGTATTTACCCAAAGGACACAGAAACATCAATTCCAAAGAGCACCTGCACCCCTATGTTTATAGCAGCACTATTTACAATAGCTAAGCTTTGGAAACAACCCAAATGCCCAAAAATAGATGACTGGATCAAGAAGATGTGGTACATATACACCATGGAATATTACTCAGCATTCAAAAAAGATAAACACATGCAATTTGCAGCAACATGGATGGAGCTGGAAGGGATCATGCTCAGCGAAATAAGCCAGAAAGAAAAAGAAAAATACCAGATGGTCTCACTCATAGCAGGAATGTAGAAAACTTAAATAAGGGACCAGGAAAAGGAATAACTATAAGAAAGTCAAAATCAACAAACAACTATGAACCAGACACACACTATGGGGGGTGGGGGGCGGGGAAAGGAGGGCTTGGGGTCAAAATAAGGGGGTTGTAATTGTATGGGGAATATAAAAATAAAATTTAAATTAAAAAAATTTAAAAAAAATGAAAATCTTCGTGTCTAAAGTGAAAATTCAAGTATTCTAAAAACCACAATCCTTAAATGCCCCTCAGAAGGAAACTAATGGTAACATTTCTTGAGTATATTTCCAGGCACATTTTCACTTTAAGCACAAAAGGGATCATGCTAAATGGATGTTTTTACAATTGTGGATTTCAATCCATTAGAGGATGATCAACTCAGCATTAAAATAATCGCAATAATCAGAGGGCTTTGCCCCCAGTGAGAAAGAATATTGTTTCACAAAACCTTATGATATTTTGTTTGTAAGTACAGTTGGCCCTAGAACAACAGGAGTGGAAGTGGCATGGTATTAGTACCAACCCATACCTACCCACACATTCAAAAATTCATGTATAACTTTTCACTCCCCAAAATCTTAAACAGCTTGCTGCCTTACCAGTAACAGTCAATTAACACATATTTTGTGTTATATGTATCATATGCTATATTCTTAAAGAAAATGTTTAAAAAATCGTAAGAGAAAATGTAGTAAAAAACAAAACATATCAATCAAGAAATGTCCATCAACAACCAACAAATTAATTTTTAGTTGGAAAAAAAAATCAGTATATCCCTAATAGTTCAAACCTGTATTGTTCAAGGGCCAACTTTATACTTGACTGTGATAAAAGATATACAGAAGAATGCTTGCATATTTTCACTTAATAAAATCTTACAGATAGTCTCATCTCAGTAGTTAATAGACTTACCTTAATCTTCTATGATTTTAGAATCTCACATTTCCCTCCTATTTAAGATTTACATTTAGAGGGTAGTTAAGCAACTTTTCATATGTGTATTCACTAGAATTTAATATTTTCCATATTTAGGAGGCACATTTTTCAACCTTCCTGGCAATTATTCTTACAGAAATAACCACAATTTAACTTTCAGGGGCAAAGGCAAAATCAGTTTTACTAACTAAATTATTATTTAATGTGGCTTCTCCTCCTTGGCTTGCTATACGGAAGTGTATATGTTCTTTAGCCAATTTCAGGATACTTTACAGTAGTTTGGGTGGCTCCTGTCCTTGCAACCGAGTCAGTCCAGCCCAGCTGTGAGACAGCTGTAGAAGGTCATCAAGGATACTCTGAAAGCAGTAGCTACCAGCATTAGATTTACATTACCAGGGCTCTGTCCATTATCTTTCCTGCCCAAAAAAGACTCAAGGATGGTTTGGGCTCTCTCAACCCATGGCTGGAAACAAAGACGCCACCAGCTTCCAAAGACCAAAAGGTCATCAATTTAAGGTAACCATCTTCATCACTCTACCATTAGACAAATAATAACTGCTAAAAAATATTTTTTTATCTTTTGAAAATTTCTAGAACATGCATGTTTGCAAGATAACCATCAGGACTTAATAAAACCTAAATCTAACACAACTGAAATTCATCTGTAACAGATAGTGGGCATGTATATAGAGGGCACAGGGCCCCCAGCCCTACATCTCAAACAGGCAACCAAAAGCTAGTAAAGCATAACTCAAGGAGGAGCAAGGGCATGCTCAGTGGCCTAAGTAGTGATGGACACGCTGCCCACAAAGACAGATTTGTCATCTTCCATCACCCTGTACTTTAAATCAAGATTCTGCTGTACCTAGTTTACCAATGAGTCACATTAAACACATAATAATCAGGCAGTAAGCATGAAGCAGCTGAGAGTAGGTACAGAAGTGGAACAGGCCAGCAGGTGATTAAGGGATTCAGTGCTGGGCTCTATCAGACTTGGGTGTGGAATCCATTTTGCTCACTTACTAGTAATGTGACATTGTACAAACTATATAACCTCTCATTTGTAAAAGGAGGGAAGTAGTAATTGCCTCTAATGAAGATCAAATGATTTAGTATACATAAGGTCCTTAGAATCTCCTCAGATGTAGTAATTTCTCAATGTTTCCAACTTTATGTTTGCCGCAGGATAAATTCCATGGTGAATACTGCTAACCATCTTTGGCCACTCATGTTACCCAGTGGCATTCCATCCCTGGTTCCCCTTGACTAAATGCCATCAGTGAACCCCCATCACCATGATAACCCACAGTATCCACCTCAAATCTTAACACCCCCGAGAGGAAAACAAGGGAAGATGGTGGGAGCTGATAACATTTCGAGAAAGGAACTTGTCAGCAGAAGATATTATCTAAACATGAAATCAAGGTTAAAATGAATGTACTAATTAGACACACGAATCAAGTACCTATTGTATACAAAAGGACTGCTAAAAAAGGATAAAAAGGATAAAGGAGCAAACCTGGAGACCTAGAACAAAGTAATCCATTTGCAATGGTGAAAGAAATCAGATGCTGTAAGCCAAGAGAAAAACCAAATTTGCAAATGAGCATGTGTTAGAATGATGCGCAGTAAAACAAGCTGTATATACACGTTTAATACCCAGCTGTATAAACAATATTCAAATACTCTATAGGGATCTAACATCAGAAAATAAACCTGACAAAAGATGTAAAGGGCCCGTTCTAATTCTAACCAAGAGGCCTTTCAGAGGGCTGTGACCAGTTTTGGCGTCTATAGATGGATGATATAGAAAAGTTGGAAATGAGTGAAAGCTGCTTGAAATGACAGCAAAAAGACCTAGATTTGGCTTGGCACATTAATATAACAGAAAAAAACGAGGTCCAGAAATTGCCATAAACAACCTAGTATTATAAGGACAACAATGCTTACGACAAAGTTCAACTTGAAAATCACTTGATTAAACATGTGAGGTAGAATTTCAGTCCAACTGTTAAGAAACCCAGCAGCAGGCTACCAAGAGATTGTGGTATTGGCATTTGGAGATATTGAGGAATTGTTACCAGCCATCTGTCCTGAATAATTCAAATCTAACCCATCTTGAAAAGCAACCCTGCAGGAGTGGCAAGACACCAGCGCTCTTTGTCTTTCTAAGATGGAACATCTCTACGAAAGCACACACGAAGAGGTGATCTTGTCAATAAAGGCACATCTGTTCTCAGCTGCATTTCTTCTCAGTTTGAGAATTTTTAAATTTGCAGAACTTTTGACAAACTTAGATACATAGAAACAGCTAACATGTGGAAAACAACACCACTTTTCAATAAAGTTTTTGTTACTGCTGAAATGTCTATGCAGCAAAGAGAAAAAAGGATGGACAGAGATGGCCCCTGGAACACAGGCCCCTTAACCACTGGAGTCCTGATCTTAGACTCTGGCATGTTAAAATGTTTTCCCCAAACTCTCTCCCTTACCACCTCTACAACTGGGTGTGGACTGCAACTTTCTCAGGGTTGTTTGTTCTGACACAGGCTATCAAGAGACATCTCCATCAAAGGTTTACTTTCACCATTTACTCAGCACAATGTTAGGTATCTGTCCAGCCAGCCACTATCTAGCATCCCTTGATACCAAGTACTCATGTTTTCTTTCATACCGCTCATTTACCAAGTGCCTACTATATGCCAAACACTGATGCACTAAAGCCATGGGGAAATACTGTGAGGAGCAAGACACACACATATAATTATATAAACTGTTAGTGAGAAAAAATAA